GTTGTATGTATGCGCACGTGCGCACGTGTGTGTGTAGGTGTGTGGGTGTATATTTGCCAGTGACAAAAGGTTTTGGTGCCACAACATCACCATAATCATTCTTGTTTTCCAGAACCTGTCCAAGAAGTTTGTCTGTGCAACGGAGACAACAAATGTTTTAGTTTTTCCTAGTGACGAGGAGGAATCAGACGAGGTATGCCAAGTAGCCATTGTACCTCAGCCGGATACCTTCAGTGTGTCCAGTATTTTGACATGGGCAGCAGGTAAGAGTGGTCTTCAACAGAGTATAGTTTGTTGACTTTCAGTCATTCACATTCTCATTTCTCTTTGGGTTACATCTCACCAGATCTGTGCAAGGACTCGGACATGCAACGCTACTGCCAACATGAGGTGGCAGTAGCTCAGCAACTCTGCTCACTGGACAAGCACCCTGCAAATGTGGAGCTGTTCATAGTTCACTTTCGGCAGGCAATAATAAATTGTGAGCAGCAGCAGACGTTGTTTTTCAAGAACAAGGCCTTAGGAAAATTAAGGAGAGGAGAGGGCACGAATGTCTCAAATGTGTGGACTGATTTACTTCGCAATTCGTCAACCATTTTCCAAGAGCTAGACACCAGTTCTGCAAGTACAGGTAATGTCATCATCATACTGGTCATTTTCTGTTCCTATTGCGCTGTAGAGATTTTATTGTACCAAATTGTACTTTGAAGTGTTTTTTTCTCATAGACAATGCGTGTTTGTGTGTGTGTGTGTGTGTGTGTGTGTGTGTGTGTGTGTGTGTGTGTGTGCGTGGATTGGTGTTTTGTACAGGTGTCAGAGTGTCCGGTGCACTATTTGCCCTTCTTCTTGGTTTCACTATGAATAGGAAGCCTGCGTCAGCAGCCATAGCTCCGAGCAACCCTATGCACATGGAGGTTGCTCGCCGCACCATGGATCAAGCGGCTAACTCGGTTGTGAAGTATCACGGGGGGTGGTGCATAGTTGCAGTGCGCAGAAAACTTGTCAGAAGCAACGAGCCTGAAGATCTGCTCCGGATAATTCCGAAGTTCGGGACAGATCTGATGGTGACGGGCAATGTTAAGCACGGAGACGAGCATCATGCTGCTGCCGATAGCAGCAACAGTGATGATGATGATTGTATTGCAGAATTATACCCTTCTCATGATTGCTATTGCTCAACACGCTAGGACTGCATAAGTACACACCAACATCCCCAAAACAAAATGCATTGAAACCACTTGAAACCACTCCTGCTATATAATTTGTTTACTTTTTGGGTGAGGAGCAATTGGCGTTGGGCAGGCAGACTTCGCAGCCGCACCCAAGTCGTCGCTCTTCCTCTTCTGTCCACGGGTTCTGGGGGTTAAAAAAGCAACAAAGCAAGCAGGCCTGGCCTCATTCAGTGCTGAAAACAAGTGATCTTGAACATTATGTTCAAGTCTATACAAATAAATAAGTTTCAAAATTTTCAGAATGAGTTTTCCAAAGAGTTACATAAGCTAACACGTTGAGATGAAGTAGAAAGGTAGACAAATAGGTATACTTTCGAAATATCCCAACTTGGTGAGGTGTCCGAGTGGGTCCAAATGAGAAATTCAGGTTCGTGTTACACCATGTCAAGATGAGAAAATTCCATCACGTTACTTACCTAGGATAGCGTCCTCCATATTCGTCACTTCCATCCATTTTGGGAAGTCGAGACTTGGCAGCAGTGTGGACGATGTACCAGAGTAGCTCCCAAAAAAGGCTCGAGCTGAAAAGAACAAGTGGCAGCTTGTCACGAAGGGATACGTCTGGTCTTCTCGTCACTATTTGAAGGTTTCTCAGCGCTGTCAAAAGAGCAAAAATTTGAATTTTCGCGCGGTTTGTATTTTTTTTGTGAGGCAAAGCTCGTAATCCCGGATGTGTGGCCGTGTCACCTCCCGGTATTGTGCTACTCCCTGCTATGTACAAATGATGTGGACTTCTCACCACATGTTCCCACAATCAAGAGTACATAACCCCGGACTCTTGCCACAATCCATAATGTCCACGTGGAATCTGTGGTGTAAACTCCATGCCTTTCTACCTGCACGTGCGAAACGACAAGTCTGGTGGACTCTGTAGTAGAATGACAGGGGGCAATCTACTATATAGAAGAACGACCCCCCGGTCATTGTACTATAATAGTAGATTGCCCCCGGGGTCACTCTACTATATAGTACAATTCCCAGGGGGTCCATCTGCTGGGGGGTCATTCTACTATATAGTACAATTCCCAGGGGGTCCATCTGCTGGGGGGTCATTCTACTATAGTACACCGGCCCCAAATCATCCCAATGTCCATTACAGTCCATGCCGTCACATGCAGTGAACTAGGTCTACCCCGACACTTGGTCAACTGAGTACTCGTTACGGTAACTGGGACTCAGGGCAATGTACACTGTATATGCAGCTAACGAGGTAAGCGTCTTATCGAGCATTGGGCGTGAGACTCACGGCTTCACCCTCAGCTTAATTATGGCACTGCATCTGTCAGATGCATTTGTTCTGTGTACGTCTTGCACACCTACAACATCAACCCTGCCATGGAGGTACTGGATGATCTCGAGCCAAGAATGCCACCCAACGATGATGACAGAGATCTAGCGATACTCAAGGAGAAGGTAGTTGCTTCTGAAGGTAGGCAAGTCTACCTGCGATGACATGATCCCAGTAGAGTTACTCAAAGAGGGTTGCGATATCGTCATTGACATATTGCCAACCATCTGTAACAAGATATTGTCGTCCGGCACGTGGCCACGGCAACGGTGCCGGTCAATCATGATTCCACTGCCAAAAAAAGGCAACCTCCGAAAGTGCATGAACTATCGCACCATGTCGTTGATAAGTGACCCTAGTAAAGTAATGTTGTGTGTTCTACTCAACCGTCTCACACCTTGCATCGAAGACCTACTGAGCGAGTAGCAGGCTGGGTTTCGAGTAGGCCGTAGTGTAGTATCCCTGCCCGACCAATACGGAAGCAGTACGGAACTAATTCGGAGCTTTGCCTGATGTATATTTAGTGTATCTCCGTATGTAAGCGTACGGCGTCTGCTGCATAAAAGCGGCTGCGCATTTCTGTTTTGAGGAAGATGAGATTTTGATAATAGCGAGCTATTCAACCTCCAGGTGTGCACCGGAGAGAAAGTCAGTTATTTTGCCGTTTCTTCTTTCACTAATAATTATATCTCAGGTGTGTACCTGAAAGAAGTAGAATAAAAGTAATTATTGTTGATTTCACCGCGCCTACCACTCGGCTACCATTACAGTAGCACTGTGGATCAGATATTCAAAATCCGTACACTGGCAGAGCGTTATGGTGACCATCAGAGACCCATCCGCATGTATAACAATGTCATCGATTTTCGCAAGGCATTTGACAGAGTGTGGCAGACATTGTCGTTTCGATCCCCATTTGAGGCTCTGTTAAACCGGAAAGTCTACCGACCAAAAAGTTTACTCTTGTATATTATTGGTATGTTTACGTGCAGAGAGTTTAACGATGGCTAGCTAGATGATGAGCAACACGATTTTTGCGTCCAATTACCCGAGTTGCCTGAGTTCGCAGCATGCTAGCATGCAGCATGGTGTGGGTTTTCTTGAGGTTCGGTGAAGAGCGAGCGGAGGTCTGCTTGTTTTAATTTTCTTGTCGAGCAACTATTTGTCTCCAAAAGGTCGACACTCTTGTCAGTGCCAATGCAAGGCTGGTTGACCACGCAGCGTTTGGTCTCAGAGCTCCTCCATCGATCTGGCAAGGAGGATAATCGGAAAATCAGCTCGTAGTGAAAATTCGAATTCTAGGGCTCAGATGACTATACTCAAAACACGAATAACGTGTTGAACCCATCATGTCATCTGGTTGAAGGAATATAGATCCAAAAAAAGGAGAAAAAATAGGAGAATTTTTATAAGAAAATATATCACATCCCTATGCTAAAAACTCCAAGATAGACTGTGGTCATGGATACATATCCGAAAACGACTGGGAATCAATTAGACCCAATTTTACATGGCCCACCAACGTTTAGGACAGGCCGACAGGGCCATTAATATCGCAAAGTGGCTAAGTAGATTCATAAAAAATATGGCTTTTGAGTAGATATTTCGTGAGGTGCAGTAGCAGAGTGTTTTAAAAGAACGCTACGAAGACAAATTGTCCCAGGAAGGCGTGTGTATGCGTTGCGTTTGTATGTGTGACTGTGCGCGCGCATGTGTGTGTGTGTGGGTGTGTGTGGAGAGCTTCAGCTCTTGTCAATTGATTATGTAGAAACAGAAGAAGAGAGGGAGTATCAAACCGTGCAAACCATGGATAGGGACGAGAATTAACTCCTATCTAGAGCCGGCTAAAACATAAAGCCCTCTATTGAATATCCCCCCCCCCCACCCCGACTTGTAACAAGTCCATGTACAGGTTTGAGTGTCTTTTGGTGCTGTTGTTGTCCATGTTATGTAACTGGTTGTTTCAGGATCCAAATCTCAGTTCTGCTTAACCTGCCTGTTTAGTCCTGCTAGTTCACCGTAAAATTTCGGCTCTGATTTTCTTTGCTTTCTTTGTTGTTTTTTTTTGTGCTGGATGATGTTAATGTCCCAGCATTGAGAAAATGTGTATCCTCTCTTGAATATTGCCCTTTTCTGAATAGCACCTCATCTATTATGGACGATGACAAACAAGTGCCAGGGGACACTAATTACGTGGGTACGGTATCTGTATGCATGGGTCACATGATAGCAGAGTTTTAGTCAATGACGTCATTACACATAGTCCTTTCGTCACCGTGAATACAGGATGTGAGTGTTATGTGATGCTGTGCAAGCTACCTCTCCAGACTAGTACCCTTCATGCACTGTAGTGCTACTGCGACGTGTTAGTAAAGTGGTGATGCGCAGTGGACCGGCTGCACTGGTTGCCCCTGGAAGTATGGTTTGATTAATCCCACTTGCCCACTCATTACTACACACTACTTCTAATAGGAGGAGGATGATGAGAGACTGTGTTGTTGAAGAGAATTGAGATAGGGAATGCAGTACATGATGAGTTATGCTGTTATGCGAACAGTGAAATGCGCACGGCACGCAAAACACTGCGTGCGCGCGTGAAAGTGAACATTTATGTCTGTTTAAATGCGGCTTATGTGTTTTGTGTGTGTGTGGGGGGGGGGGGGGTGTTGCAGGATCGAGTGTGATGTTGAAGAACAGTGGTTTGTTTAGTTGGGACAGAGGGTTAATGTGTGATACATGTATTGTGAAATCCACTAAGACATGCTGGTACAGTAAGCATTGTACTAAGGAGACGGCGGGGAGACGAACGTACTTGAAGTGTAATGCTTAATAGCAATAAAAAATAAAATTTAAGTTGAAGCTAAATCGAAGCGTGTTAACGTAACTACTCTATCCATCTAGTGCCACAAATGTCGAACGTTGGAAACTACATGTACGGGCAACAGCAAAAGCGAGCGGATGAAGACAATGTGCAGACACAGCATGGGCATAGTCTGATAAACCATTATCCAAATACGATCTAAGAAGAGGTACATACAGGGCGACAGGACGACATTAATGTCGATCATTTTTACACAGACAGAAGAACGAGCAGTTGCGGTGTCGAACCTCTGAGCTTCAATCATCTGACAAAATTGGTACTGACCCTGCCCTGAGAGTACATTGTACTGCTATATACATGTACCATCAATGTGGCATGCCGAGCATAACAATCACCATAATTATATCAATTAATTTTAGGTATACATGCATGCATCGGGCGACGAAAAGGTTTTTTAGGCATTGCTGTTGGCACACAATTCTTCAACGTGAAGGCTGGACGTAATGCGTGACGAACTAGATGAATAGGTACCTTCATACTTGAAAGAGCCACTGTCGACTGCTAGTTTAGTAGTGATGCGCAATGGACCTGCAGTATTGATATGACACACACCACTGATTGCTCCTGGAAGTATGGTGTAAACATTACCATTTCCCGTATGTATACCTGACACGCCACTTCTAATAGGACCAGGATCTTGACAGTCTGTGTTGTTGATGAGAATAGAGATTGTGAATGTAGTCCATGATGAGTGATGACGTGTTCCAAACGTTGCAGTGTACATGACACGTAGCACAGTGTCAGCTCTGGTCTTGTTGTAAATTACATTCATTGGATAAACATTTCTGGTTCCTGTTTCTTTCCGGAATGTTTTCCATGCAACAATACCGCACTGTACACACGACAGTAGAAATAAACACAAATCAATACAGTGACATTAGAAATGAATTCTATTGTAAATGCTCATACACGCACCCGTGACTATTCCGCAATATGGCCACGGTGTGCACAGCCTTTTTAAAGATTTTAATGTGAATGTAATTATGTATATGTATACACTACCTACCCGTTGAGTTCTCTCATTTTATTGTAAAAAACTAATCCATGAGCACCAACGTGTAGCACACAAAATTGAACGGCATACTCATCATCAGCAGATCGTGAATTCGAACTGTTTGCCTAAAAATTGCCTGCGTATGAGTTATACACGGAGAGGTACAGCGCAAGAACGTCGTACACTATCTGCAGGCCTCTCCTTTCTTTTTAGACAACGCCCAGATTCGTATTCAGTCCCCCCCCCCCCCAGCTCTATTCTATCATCCACGCCGGAGCTGCTGCTGCATAACCTCAAGTCAAAAGACTTGGCAACTCCACGCTTGCCCCTGAATCTTGCGTTATGGGACCCCTAAGAATTTCTCACCTTGCAACCCCCTTATGTTTAGGCTGCCCATTATGGAGCCTGATGATTGTAGTAATACGTGAAACTGAGAGTCACGACACAGCTTCCAATCTCTCTCCTGCATTCCGTTTGCATTCATTGTGCTGATTTGGCACTTGAAAAAATCTTCTCCCCAGACAAATTGCATAGCTTGACGAGTATAATGTGAGGAATGCTTGGAATGGCAAATATTCTGCATTTCTCTTTTTATAGTTATGGCATTGATGGCTCTGTGTATATTATGCGTACAATTTTATGAAAAAAATAGACTGTGTTGTGGCGCGGCTGTAGAGTGTAGTGATAACGGCCCTGATCTACTAACACATATAGACAGTGTACAAAGGACTCTGATCCTGGTCTCGGGAACTAAAATTCATTGCGTCTGAAAGCAGGACGTAACCCTGTTTCCTGCTCTACAGAAGACAAATGCTCGACCTGGAAACGTATTGAGTAACGCTTCAGCCTTTCAGGGTTTCTTTCCATGTTCGCTTGACGTATTTATGATGCCTAGACCACGTGTCGGCTGAGGGCAACATGCCCAACGAACACTTTGCACATATTTGGAATTATGTTATTTTCCTATCAACTGAGTTCGAAATGAAACATTACCCAGTATGCTTTTGTACAAACCAGCATTTTTATTTTACTGTTTCGTTTGTTGTAACTATAAGAGTGCAAGACCTACTTACAGTGTGCAGTTGAGATTTGGTGGCCATAGTGGAGATAGTGGAGAGAAGATCCGACTTGGTGTCATTAACCATTGCTTTGGTATCAATCAATGCGGCCTTGTTGTCATTCACCATTGCTTTGGTATCAATCAATGCGGCCTTGTTGTCATTAACCATTGCTTTGGTATCAATCAATGAGGCCTTGTTGTCATTCATCTTTGCTTTGGTATCCATCACCATGGCGTTGCTTGCAATCAACGCAGCCTTGTTGTTTGTCACCATTGCCTTGGTCTCTTGGAGTTCTGATCTTGTTTGTTGCAGTTCAGATTTTGTTTGTTGGAGTTCGGATTTAGTTTCGCGAACATCCTCTCGCAGGCGATCATTCTCTGCATCGAGTGTGCTGCGTACATCGTTCATATCACGCGAAATATCAGTATGGTATGCCCTGAACGCCTTGGCCATCGAATGGACTTCGTTCAGAAGCCTAGACATCTGGCGATCACGCTGATCCAATTTTTTCTGTAGTTGTTTGTTTTGCTGGTCTAGATGTTTCACCTCACGACAAAGATTCGAATCCAGAGAGGTTGTGCAAATATCAGCTGCAGGGGAAAGTAAAACATCAAAATCGCTTTGTGATTCCTGGCCAGTTTGTGTGCAGTGTTGCAGTTTCACGTACCAAATATTATGCAGTACATTATTCTAGCATGCCTTCTACTAATTCGATAACCATGAAGTTTATGAAGTCGGTTGCTCAAAACATAGCAACTCACGCTTCCTGCCGAACCTGACAATAGACAGACTCACGACTACCATCTGGAGCACGCGAAGAGCACAATTGCACATTGAGAATCCTGCAACAAAACAACACCCCTGTTCAATACACAGTGTTTCGGGGAATTCACCCCTCATTTGTTGAGCTTTAGTAGGATGAGGTAGATTGTGCCTGAAAAGCACCAGTTATATGTTTATACTGCTACGCAGGCCAAACCATCACCAGGGATACAACGTCACCACTAACACATCCGACGTCGCAACTTCTAAGTTCGTATTGTCCCTCACGCGGACTTGCGACTTATTATTGGAGGTTACATCGTCGTGAATAACTACTGGTTTAGCACAACTCCACGAGCTGCTCTGACACACGCTGCTACCTGGTGCCTCACGAGGTGTTTGTCGCGCTGGAAAATAAGGGTGTCTGTACGTTTGTGTCCCAATATGTTACTGTTTGTATTGAATGTTTTAAGTGTGTATACCTGGTGATTGTTTCGCCTGGAGAAAGTGGTGCTTTTCAGGCAAAATCTTCATCCGCCTACTCAAGGTCATATGATATGGCGTGATGTCCCCGAAACAATATGTATTGAGTAGGGAGTGGTGCTTTCTTGCAGGTTTGCCGAGTTGAAGGTGCGAGGTGCTCATCGTATGCTACGGATGGCAGTCACGAGTCAGTCAAGTTTCAAGTTCGGCCGGAAAAGTGTCGCTGCGTCTGTCCCTCGTTGGAATAAGCAACTTCATCACTAATACCGCTGAAGTCGAAACTTCTAACTTCAGGTTAGTGTTCAAATGGAGAATGAAGTGAAATGTTTGTCTCAGCCAGGCATCACAATGCTGCCAGTTGATATTCCAAAAAACATATCACCTTCAATACTCATCGCAGCTACAGAATATGTTAACCGGACTATACCTACGATTTAGATCAAAGTATACTTCATATGATACGATTGAAGGGAATCTCCAACGCGGAAACGCTGTAAATTGATGCGAGACAGTCTACCGAACAATCAAAATTCTGGCACTGTACCTTCACAGTGGAGACCATTTCCATGGTAACCGTTCTTGCACGTACATGTAAACGATCCAATAGTGTTATTACAGTTAGCGTGTTCATGACAGGGGGATGGTGTGTTTGTACACTCGTTGATATCTGTAGGCAGGATATACGTATTACGTGAATATAGCACAGAGAAGCCAGTGTGTGAATAATTTCAGAATGTTTGATACGTCAAGATCCTGAAAAGTGAGTATACTTGAAAGTCAACACCAGCGTCTGGCATTTAGATCTTTGTAGCAACGAGTTCCAAAAATACCAGTGGACCTATTCAGTATTCATACCACCCTACTTTAGGGTTTGCAAGTACATTTCAGTGCTACTTTCAATTTAGAAATGGGAAATTGTTTGTGCAAATGTCATAATCTGGGTTTCAATAATATTAATTTTCTGTTATAAATACACAGTTATACATGTCGAACAAGTCACGTTTTTTATTTTTGATTTTTTTACTAGCAAACACAGCCCTACTAATAATCAGGGAAAGAGGACAACTGAAATGACACTGGGCAACAAGACAAAGGGGAGTAGGGCCGATGTGCCGATGTGGTTGGCGAGGCTCATCCGACGAGAGGTCTCGGAATCATAGCCTACGACCAGGCATCGATAGGAATGCAGCTAGGGAGGGAGGGAGATCAAGTGAGACGTAGTTGCGTGCTGTCTGCGGCCTTCATCCTATTCATAGCTGTATTAAAATGTCATAGTATTACTGATATACCTAACATTTTTGCTTGTAAATGAGCGTCCAGGCGAAAATAGTTGTAGAATAGCGATCTACAGAACGAGCTGAACCGACATTTCACAAAGGCTTTATGTTATTAAAAAACGAGTGTATACAAAGGCTGATTGGGAAGAAGTAAGATCTGGTATGGAATAATTGATGAACAAAAATAAAACTTCGAATTAGGTTTCGCAAAACACTTGTCAGGAAGGTAAGTTGGACTAACTCCCAGCTTCGGTGGGAGACTTAAATTGCAACTATTACAAGGAAGACCTCCCAGAAACTGACGGCGCTGCGTGCCATTCGCTCCTGCTTAACTGAGCAAGAAGCCCTGCTATTTTACATATCGTTAATACTACCGGACAAGTTACATGGATCTAATGCATTCTTCTCGGTTCTCTCTGCGCACCAATGGCATCAGCTTTCGGTCCTCGACAAGCGATGTATCCGCTCCGTTGCCAACCAGCCATTTCCCTCCCACACAGGTCCCATCTACACCCGTCTAGGCCTCATCCCCATCATCCAAAACGCCCACTGAAAACTCCGCCTCCTCATGCTTCGCATCCACAGGCCAGTATTAGTAATCTCCTGTACAAGCGCCTACGTCGCCAGACTGAAGGCGTCACTCGGATCAACGATCCAAATGCGTATGTTGTCCCTGCCACCAGGCGAGTCTCTTGTGACTGTCGGCCGCTCGTTTCCGCTGTTAGATTATGGAACGCCCTGCCTCAAGAGTTCAAATCCCTCGCCTGCCACAGATCATTCAAGAGACTTTTTAAAAAGGTTTATTTTTTTGGCTAGCCAGCATCTAGGCTTGCTTGGACTTGGAGTCGTGACTCAACTGTGACTCAACTGTGCTTTCTTCTTCTTCTTCTTTTTTTCCCTTTCTCTTTTTTTTTTGAGTATTTGCAGTCTGTGTTGTCTGTGTTTTTCTCTCTTTCGTGGAGGCTTGCTTGTTGTATCCTTGGCTCTAGGCCGTTACTTTATGGCCATCATAATATTGGGCACCACTGCCCGTTTGGTCTGCGATACAAAATAAATTTTCAACAACAACTAATGGAAAATGTTTCAAGAAAAGTACTATTACAGAGAATTGAAGTGAGAATAAACAACTATTAAAATGATAATATCCTAGCACTAAGGTGATAGTAGGAAAAATTGCGAAAGTATCTAAAGGATATACGTCCAATAAACTACTAGCATACTGTGGCACGATCTATGACATCATGGCCATCCAGGGCCAAACAAACAAACAATGCTGCTACTAGAATAATTTCAAAGGAATAATGTTGTCCTTTTGGACGCAGAGTTTAGGCTTATGAATAAGCTGACAAACAGCTTCTGTCACCCTCAACTGCAACCTATATTTCTATTTCTGTTTTGTACTGAGCTCGTCATAGTTATCCGTTGCAGTTGAGCGTGATATAAGCTGTTTGTCAACGTATTCATAAGCCTAGTCTGTGTCCTGAAGGACAGAATTTTTCTTTTGAAATTATCATAGTACTAGTCTTTTGTTTGTTTGGCCCTGGTTGGGTATGATGTCATATCTAGCGCCACTGTGTACTAGTAGTTTTGTGGGACGTGTAGTTTGGTTGGATGCTTTCGCAGTTTTTCCTGTTATCACATTAGTGCGAGATTATTATCATTTATTTAGGTGTTTATTCTGAATTCATTTCTCTTTATTACTTGTGGTACCTTTCTTGAATGTTTTTCATTAGTACATCGTAGCTTCCGGAGGAGTGTTTGGCGAAACCTGGTTCGAAGTATTATAAAAAAATTGATCATCATTTTATTCCATATCACATTTTCTCTCCTTCCCTGTTCTTTACACCCTTCGTATACACTCGTTTCTTTAATACCATATAGCCTTTGTGAATTGTCGGTTCAGCTCGCCCTGTTGATCGCAATTCTAAAAGTTCTGATTGTATGTACTGTATTTTGGGAGAAAGTAAATTATACAATCGTTTACCTTCACACAGACGACCATCACCGTAATATCCAGTCGTACATTGGCAACCAAACGATCCATGTGTGTTCCAACATTTGGCAACGGTAGAATCTGCACAATTGTTAAGTGATGCATCCGAGCACTCGTCGATATCTGTAATACGAATACAAACCAAATTGGAAAACTGAATACTGTAACTGGATAACGCTTGATTCCAGCGCACTTTGTCGAGGCCATATATCCCTTAAACGGATAATGACTTAATCCTTCAATGAGGACTGAGTAAGCAGTAAAGAAAGACTTAGTTACAAACCCTGAACTGCATAATTATGTTAGAACGGCTCTTCAATGGAACCAAACAAGCCAATGGGTCATATACCTAGTATGAATACCTTCTGCTCTTGGACTTTCAGGCAGGGTTTGAAATGAAAGTCAGTGTGCTGAAAGCATAGTCAGTAGGGGAAAGCAAGGCCAGCAGTGATAGGGTTAAAGCAGTACACTAAAACACTACATGCAACTTTAAAGAAATAAAGACATGAACAGGAAAGCCAGCCCGTGACTCAATATGTAAATCAAATCAAGCGGCTTCATAAGGGTTAAGTACAGCAATGGGGTAAGGGGCCGATGTCGTACTATTATATCGCTCGGAATCCAGTAGGAATTATTTATATACAAATACGTAAGGAGTATAAAGTTAAAATAAGGCATGCTTGAAAATAGGTTTTACTCACCAGATTGGCACTGTTGTTCTGTTAGACCTAGTGGACATACACATGTGGGTGTTGCGTATCTAGAACTGTGCCTACACCTGCCGCCCTCACCACAAGGAAGAGTCACAGATGCTAAGTCGGTGGGGCAAGTTGCATTTCGAGCTGCCATCGAGACAAAAATCAGATAAGATGGGAAAATTATCTTTCGAAGTTAAACGACATGTTCTATGCACATCATCACTAGTTCAGCGTATACCTATCTAGAGGGAAGAGAGAAAAATAACAGCAGCCATGAGCGTCCACGCAGTATATAGGAATTAATTTTTGCACACGCAATTATACCCAAATCTGTGACCACAGAACGAGCTACGTGCTCATTAAAGAGTTTGTATTGGTGGCTCTGTTAGACTACAGGTGTTAGGCCAGTGCCATAGCAGCTCATATCGCCCAAATCCCACATTAACTCCCATTCAATGCGAGTTAAAAACATTAATCAAGGTAAAATAACACCCGTCCATTCAAAGTCTGCAAAATTGGATAGATTGTAGACTACAGTTACAAAGAAATAGATGTAGACGACACAATATCCGTAAAAACATTTTCTGACGTACCGACGCAGGTTTTCAAGTTATTCACCAGCCTGGAGTTGAAAGACAACAACAACTCGAGTACGATATCCCCGAGTGTAGATATTTTCAGTTCATCCAAATGGAATTTGACCACTCCTGGCGAAGTCGCGTACGTCTGCGCCTCCGTAGGACTAGCACCTGCCAATATCAGCCATTGAACAAGGCAGTTGTATGGTGGTGACGTGATGTGCTCAACTAAATTCACAAAGTCCACAAGAACAGAGAGGATAGGCATAGTATGGAGAAAGTGATACTTTGCAGCGTGGAGCCTCTGTACTTTCAATGTTATCTCAGGCAGTGTTTTACTTGCGGAATGCCCATCAAGATTCAACGGATTGAGTGGATCTGCTCATGTGCGAATTTAGGTTCATTTTTGTGTTTTGTATTTTAATGTTTTACTTGGGCAATCCCAACAGACCCTAAGGTCTTCTTACAGGGTGCCCAAGATGAATGAAATTCTCACTTCGAAGTATTTGAATGCTAACTCTTCTTGAAGCGTTATTGGTGCAGTACTGCTCGGACTATTTGGATGATTCTTGTTATCGCTCAATACTTTAAAATGTACAGGGCAGAACAAGTTATCTCCGCCATTTACAGTGAGTTAGTCTTCAGCATTGACATTTACCAAGACAGTTGGGCTCCGTGGACGACCACATACATACACTGAGTTACTCCATCAGCGTACAGCATGATGTTTCGTTCTTTGCGATCTCATCAGCGCAGGACAGAGAAAATGAGGCCGAACCTGATAGCAATGAAAATAAAATTTCCAAAGCCAGATTTAAATCAGGCCCGAACGCACCTTGCCAGAGTGCTCAAATTGACAAGTCAGTGCGCTTTGCGGAATGCAAACAGCAAGGGCACTACACCACATAAGAGTGCTCAACTACTATAAGCAGGAATTACCCACTACGGCAACAAGAGGTTCCTACGATCTTTTAGGCTTTACTCAACAACTCAACCTTCCCCAAAGTGTTAATGAACGAAGCTGCTGTCAGAAGGAATACCACTTCAATGCTTGAGGGAACCTCTTCTTGCTGTTGTCGACAGGGGAGTGAATTTATGTGGTCGGTGGGTCACAGAGCGCAATTGTGTTGAAGAATGTCAAAGTAGTAACTTTCAACGGCCATATGCTGCTGTTTAACGTCTGGTTAATTATGCGTCATGTCATGTCTTATGTCACCACACAGTGTGTCAGACTCTCAGTATTCCAGAAATCAAAATCCAGCAAATCCTCGAATATAACGTAGTACAGACGTCAGGTTCTTCAACAGTCCGGACAGTCCTTACAACTGTTACAGCAGAGAAAACCCAACTCGGCATGTTCTACACTGTCTTATTCAAACTGTCGACCGTTGTCATGAGGGCAGCGCAGTGGACTGCCGGCGGAAAAATAATAACTGGATGTGGGGTACAGTGTGACATAATAGATCCTTTAAGTGCGTTCACACTCACGGGAAGGGCTGGCGGGACGGGATGGTTGTCATAATACTAGTAGCACGGTCAAGTGAACCCGAAACTAGGTCTTGTGATCTACCCGCCAGCTTTCCGCGAACGTGATGGCGTGAAGATCTTCCCAGCTCAAATTTTGGGCTGGGAAGCTTCACGCCAAAGCGGTACTGCCATTTTAAGGAACACCTTGGGCCTCTCGTACGGGCCAAATAACACATTTCGTGAAGCGGTACTGTCTATATTGTATTTTGTTCCCTATGTTCACATACCCAACTCGTAAAATAGTGAAAGACAATGGTACTGAGACAAGGACAAACGTGACAATTACTGGGAAGGGGCTGCACGGAGATGCAGCAGTGATGGTGGGACATTGATGGCTCTGCCGACCTGAGGTCTCGGCATCACGGCCAGAAACACGCACCAAAAACAAAAGATAGAGCTGTAAGGGTCAGCAAAAATAAAAATAAAGTAAGGGCAAACAACAGCTAGTACTAGTGTGCAGCGCATTCGTAGCAATGGGAGTCGTTGACGGGGCACGAGAATGTAGGTGGGTCGACAGGCAGAAGGTCCGTGGACCATTGCCAATCCTGTCGGCGGAGGTATTTATTGACGTTGCACTTAATCTTTTGAAGATAGCCGGAGTGAAGAACTTACTACAGCGCAGGTGGCGCGCGTACATAGTGGATCGATTGTAGATTTTTTGAAGAAACGACAGTGAACTGCAACAACAGTGAAACAGTACTTTCCTTTAGTTTTTTACTTGCGTGTGGAGAGTTTTTGTTTTCTCAGCAATGGTGAGAGTAATATCTAGGCGCTTCTCAGCGCTTGCCTCAGCGCTTCATTCTCGATACGAAAAAAGCGCCAAGGAGTCCTATCATCACACAGCTAGTTTCTGTGCTTGTGAGGATTGTGAACATGCGGATGATATCCTCTGCGCTCCAGCACGATAGTCGAGCAATGCGAAGCTCCAGCAACACACTAGAAGTCCATCGAACCGTCTACTCGGCAAACCTGCAAGAAAGCACCACTCTCTGCTCACTACACAGTGTTTCGGGGAATTCACCCCTCATCAGTTGAACTTGAGTAGGGTGAGTTGCAGTCTGTTAAGACTGGTAGGTTGAGGACGATTATGCCTGAAGATCATCACTTGTACAGTGCTCTCCAGGGACAAACATCACCAGGGATACAAACTTGCAGAGACCCTCCGTTTCCAGCGAGAGAAACACCTCGTGAACACCAGCGAGCTCCCATGTCGAGAGCAACACACTCTTTCCCAGATGTGTAATTTTTTGGACATAACGGTCCGAGTTGCTCTTTAGGACGCTCAGATCATGAAATCGTGATAGTTCAATTCCAGATCATTCACCATACCGGGGACAGCCCACCACGCGTACTGTGCCGCGTTAAGCTGTGTTCACAACTGGCGCGCGGACGCGGTACGATTGCTTTTCATGCGTGCCCAAACTCGCGTTCAGGCGTTCACAAAAAAACAGCAATTCGAGTCGTATTTAGCGCGTGTGACACCTTCAAGTATAATTTGTTGACCCCGCCAGTCAGCAGAAAACATCGCAGCTTGTGCTAGGATTGCACCATTCAACAGCTTGCAAGGCTGAAGAATTGACTGCCACTATTCAGCCTGGTCTAAACCACACAGCTATGAAGTGGGTTTTTTCTGGCCAGTGAACCCCTACTTTTTGGTCTTTTTCATTTTTTTCACGCACACACTTCACACTACATACTCCGGCATGCACTGGCTGTTGGTAACCATGTAGGAGAATGAAATAAAAGTCAGGAGGAGTCTGAGAAAGAGAAGAAAGACGTGTGTGACGATAATCGTTGGGAATCGAACCCGCACCTATCCATTGGAAATCGCTGCACATACCACTGCACCATATGGGACACACCACTAACCCACGTCCACTTCCGCATCCAGAATGTTCGCCGCCTTCTGCGCCGTCTCGACGAGTCGAAAGCCACGGGACCAGACAGCATCTCCCCCCCCCCCCGTGTCCTGAATGAATGCGCTTCGGGGCTCGCACAAGTCCTGGCAAAGCTTTTCTCATTGTGCTTCCGGCATGGATACCAACCTCAGGCCTGAAAGCTCGCCAATGCTGTTCCTATGCATAAACGTTCATCTCGCTCACAGTTCAAGAACCACTGCCCCGTGTCTCTCCCTAATGTGATAACCAAGCTAATGGACAGTAGTATCAATATGCAAATTACGAATTACCAGGAGGGTAACTCACTGCTTGCAGCGAATCAGTTTGACTTCAGACGGAAAATGGGTACTGCCGACTCTCTTACTCAGCTACACCGCTACTTGGCATTCTCTATCGGTTGTTGGGGCCAAGCACGCGTACTTGCAGTTGATATTGCTGGAGCCTTCGACAAGGTTGTTGTTGTTGTTTGGCTTTATATAGAGTGGAGTTCCAAAACAGGTCTGAACCTAATGACTATGGTTCCACTGATAGGAAGAGAAACGAAAAATATATAAAAATAAGCGGAAAAAAACAGAACAAAGAAGAAGATTAGTTAGATAACTAATATGAGCATGAATCTACAGCAATGTGCCATCCTCAAGGAACCCTCCTTGCATGGCGGACATCGTACCCTAGTTCACATTCGAACTAGGCGTCCAATGTGAGCACCAGGAACGGGAACGCAACCGTACTGCCGTACGGATCGGGAAGCGAAGGGAAGAGTTGGATTGCTCCAACTTTTCATAGCGTACACGGGGACACAAGCGTCAAAAAGAGCTGCATTTCGAGTGTGAACAGGAGACGGCGTCGTACGCCGACTACTCCCGATTCGTACTTGGGGAAATTTTCAGCATTTCGAACACTTCGCTTCCCATGTTAACTCGCAGTTGAATGTTAGCAAGCTAAGGTCTGAGGTCACTTATGGTATTTAGGGAAAGTTCAAGAGCGTGACAGACGAAGTGTTTTATCATTTCCCGAAGCTATTTTTTTGAACGGCACACCTTTCAAAGCTACTTTTTGGTGTTCATGAAAAACTGGTATTGTGAAATTGATTCCGCTCCATTCAAGGAAAAATAACGGAAAAGAAGTCCTGAAAAACAAGAAACGGGTCCAAAAGTCACCCTGTCACGGACCGTACCTTATGACTGGCGCCGTTTGCTGTTGAACGACGCAACGAATGCAGCATGTTGTGTTACGAGTCGTCCACGATTTTACAGCTGACCCCAGCCTTCCCGACAGGCCCTTACCGTCAATGTTCCGTCGAATGTGAAATAGGCTTAACCGAAGCATACAGTGTGCTGTCGGTGGTGCGACCTCTCGTCCATACGCTATAAAGGCGGGAGTCCCAAAAAGGCAGCATTCTGGGGCTAATCACGTTCCTCGTCTATATTAACGACGTATCAACATGCCTTGCGGGGAACACGCAACTAGAAGCCTATGCTGGCGATACGACATTGTACGCTCTTCTCCGTAACGACCTCCCCACTGCTGCTGCCTTGCTTCAGGGCACCGTCAATCGTCTTTCAGACTGGGAGTGGGACGAGGAATCGCGTGTAGCGTTTGAGCCGTCGAACTCCAAGGCTATGACAGTCACGCTTCAAATGGTGTACTAGCTGTGCTTGTACTCGTTAGCAACAATCCGAACTAGCGCACACACTGCACTGCATTGCTTTGTACTGCATTCAAGACTGACGTCATGCACTTTGTTTTGCTGCGTAATCACAAATGGCACCAGCCCATTTTGCTGAAAAGAGAGAGGTTTAG